GAGAGTGCAAAATAGTTCACTTCACATGTCCTACCGGCAATCTATCTGTATCGTTCTCGTGCAAACACTTGAGCCGTTTGCTCTCATCTGGAATAGCTCAGGCCATTTACCGCCGAGATTTCGGGTTAAGCCACGACGTCCTCGACGAATAACAAACTTTCGATGGAAATGAGAGAGGAACTTGTGGTTTTCCTGTTGTTGGTGCATCCGTACTACCTTAAGAGTTAGAGCTTCAGCAAGAAAACCATTTTCTGACATGATCCCTGAGAATTTTTACTAACTAACCTCCAACTTGTCCTTGAAAATCTTTTCAAAAGTAGGTTGAAGTTGGAAAGTAAAGTGCAGCCACCCCATATTTGAGGCATCACGGCCTTGCCAGAAGTACAACACACACTTGAAGTCCTGCTGGCTCTAAAAACGCTTGAATGCAGAACGTAATAAAGGATTAAAAATACGTCAACGTGAACCGGTTGTTCAGCCAATCAACCTGATATTCTGATTCTGATATCAACCTACTCAATTGGGAATACATGAATAAAAAGAGAAACAGTCAAAAAACACAAACGATTCCGAATCATCCGAAAATACGAGATCAACAGATTGCTTCTTACCTCAACGTCCCCCGCATCGCTTTCGTCTTCGGACTCGTCTGGTATCACAGCATAACGGCAAAGGAACACATAACAATCCATCGTGTAAAATGATCCGAATTCTCCATCTGGCAGCCGAACAAACTTCTTTCCCTCCTAAATCACAGATGACGTTTTGAAAATTGAAGTATCGCACAAAAACTTTACCAAACTATCAATTCAGACTTTTCAGAGAAATCTCTTACCAATACGAATGACTCAATGAACTCAAGATCCTCGTTGCAATCGTTGAGCAATTCTTCACTTTCTTCAGGTGACATTGCTGGTTGGCGGTCAAGAAACAAAGCTGTTAGGTCAGTACGCATCATATTATCGCGTTTGACAAGAACCTAGATGGACCCTAATTATTAATCATGAAGATCACAGGAAATACTGAAAATAAAAAGCAGCAAAGTAGCCGAACAGTTGGAATATCTACCTTGAGATCTGGAACGCGGCTAACGGATTCTGAGGTACGAGTGAAATCTACGGGCACGATATCATCCCAGCCGGCAAATTTCGATCGGAACATCATGGATTCCTCGTCCTACAATTGATAGAAGGCGGTAAGATGAATGAATGAAATGAAAAGCATTCAAAAAATACTACCAAATTTACTACGAAGATCCCTATTAATTTCAAGTAATCCGTGTCAAATCACCTCAGTTTCCCTTGACACTTGTACGTAATCGGGCCGTTCAATCATCTCATGCAATTCCGTGACCATTTTTTGCCCAGCCATCTTCAGTAACCTAGAACGATCAAAATACAGCTCATATGACATGACATGGCAGAAAAAGCACCCGAAATTCGGAATTCTTCGAATCAAAGAATGATATGATTACGAGAACACCTACCTGTTTGCTTTTTTACCCATCCAAAGGAAAATATCGGAAGTGCAGTCAAGGATGTAAACACATTTTGTGTTCAACAGCTCCTAAAATGTCTTTATAGAGGTTCTTTATTCCCCAAGCGCATAAACTTAAAGCCAACCTGTTTCGCAACACCCTTGGGAAGATCAACTTGGGGTAACTCAAGAAATCCCATACCGATATTCACCTGTAATACGTTTTCTGCTGCTCTGAAATATTGTTAAGCCAAAAAACGCTGCACCTGGTAGAGTCGTTTTCTCTCAGGAACAAAATTTTCCGGTACATGTTCAACGATGGCCTCATCAGGGCGATTAGGCGATCCACAGAATGCCATCCAGAACTCTTCCGGTACTTTAGGATCTCGACAGGTTTCAATGGCAGCGACACCCTTCCTGTCTCTTTTATTAAGTCGCTCAGCAAAAAGACGAGCCTTGTTTGCCACCGTAATCTGAACGATATTGGCTAGAGAAAAAGTATATTGGACAAAGCACATGTAATTACCCTGGCTTTCCAACCGCTCCAAATCCAAAGCGTGTCACCGGCGTCAAGAAGAAAGCAGTATCGAGGATCAAGGGATTCCATCGCAACAGGTACTGGCTCCATCTCCACAGCTGTGCCGTTGACTGAAGCTCGATACAACCTGGACCAACACCGAA